TCTAGTCCGCACCCCTGTGGTGATTTAACAGCCGGGCAGAGGCGGTGCTGAGGGCCAGGGTTTGGGGGTGGGATGGCAGGGGCAGGGGAGCGGTTGGGCTGGGGGAGCTTCAAGGGCTTTGCCCACCCAAACCATTCTGGGATTCTATGTTTATTTATTTATTGTGGAGGGTGGTGCTGAACATCCCCTTCTGTAAAGAAAACGCAGTAAAATAATAAACCTATCGAAAGCTTGCTTAAAAACTTTAAAGCGCGGTAATCCAAGGGGAGTCCTGTAAGATTTCTGTACTATTTCGAGAGTAATTTCTCAGTAAGAATCTTACAGGAATGTAAAACAGCCTCAAAGAATTGCGTTTGCAGATTTAATTGTAATTCCTTTTATATTCTTACAGAAATTGAATAGAAATCCCGTTCAAAGGCTTCTCTGCAGAGCTCCCCTGCCCTCGCGGAGTGGCTGCACCCTCCGCTCCGGGTTCCTGGGGCCAGCTTGAAAAACAATGGAAAATATTACGGCGGCAGCTCCCTCCCTTGCCAGTACAGTAGGCAGGGTATTGCTGCGATGCTGATGTGCAAATGCGGGTGGTCAAAGGGCCCCGTGCTATTTCTGATTCAAATAGCGTGCATGGGGGATCAGTAACAAATAAATGCCTTTAATTTGTGCCTTGAAAAGGGAGCGGATTTCCCAGTTTTGCCTCTTTTTTTTTCTTATTTATTCTTTTTTTTTCTTATTTATTTATTATTTTCTTTCTTATTTTCTTTCTTTTTTTCTTTTTTTCTTTTTTCTTTTTTTCTTTTTTCTATTTTCTTTTTTCTTTTTTCTTTTTTTCTTCTTTTTCTTTTTCCTTTTTTATTTTTCTTTCTCTTTTTCTTTTTTCTTTTTTCTTTTTCCTTTTTCTTTTTTCTTTCTTCTTTCTTCTTTTTTCTTTCTTCTTTTTTCTTTTTTCCATTTCTCTTTTTTCTTTTTTCTTTCTTCTGTCTTCTTTCTTCTTTTTTCTTTTCTTTCTTCTTTCTTTTTCTTTCTTTCTTTTTCTTTCTTTTTCATTTTTTTTCCAGAAGACCTGCCCCAGCAAAACCTTTCATTTCTCCCTGGCCTTAAGTCTGGGATTTCCAGATGATTGGCCTTTAATATCACTATTTTTGTTGCGCGCCATTTTTAGCAAGGAGCAAATCCAATTTCACACACACACACACACACACACAGAGCATTCAAAACCCATTTTTCTCCCAAATTATCATTACAGGGGGAGTGACGGGCCCTTGGCCCCATCACTGCAGCTGAAGATGGAGGGAGAGAGGCCACCTCCATTTCACTCCTTCCCAGTCCGGGGGGGCCGCAGTGATGGAGATCGAGCTCTCCCCCCGTGCCTGATGTGAGCACGGCGCCCTGGCAGCGCCTTGGCTTGATGAAAGGATGCTGTTAACAAGCCTTCAACGTTTCTCATTAATGGCTGGGCTGGGCGGGTGGGGTTTTTTCACTGAAAAAAGCCAGAAGACAAAAATTCCACCTGGGCAGTCATTAAGATCGATCCCATACAGGGCGTTTAGTTATCAGTTTTTAAAACCTCTTTAAGTACTTTATTTAGTTATTGGAAACAGGGCTTTTTGTTTGTTGCAGTCCTTGAGCGTGGCAGAGGGCTGCAAGGAGCAGAGGGGGCTCCTCCTGGGCTCTTCTCCTTAACTGAGCTTCATCCAACCTGCAGAAGAGCGGGTGCTGGGCCATCACCTCCGCCCCGGCCATGGGAGCCTGGCAATCTGCAA